TGATTTTATTTTTCTCTTTTTCTATTCACGCCCCCCGTTCCTTCTCTTTCTTTCTTCCGCGCTGCCGCTCTCGCGGGTTCCGGGAGTGATCGCTGCGGCTCTGGACGACCAACGCGGCAGACTCGGCTCCACGAAGACGACTTTCCTTTTCGTTTCGTCGTTCGGTGATGTATGTTTGTTCCTTCGTCAAGTTCGAGGTGAGGTGAGGGGAACGTTGTTTCTTTGGGGAGGGGACCTGGTGAGTAGACTGCGGATGCCGCGGACGTTGCGGACGCTGGAGCTTCTTCGACCCCTCGCCCCGAGATTTCTCATTAGCGACGGTTGTTTCGTTGTACATAGTTGTTTCCTTTTGTTACGGGGCGTCACGCGTTTCCGAATGTTCACGGACGTTGCTTTCCTAGCCTGCGATTCGACGCTTGCGGCCGGGGGTCGATGAAACGACGTTTTAACCCTTTTGCACTGTCCCGACGGTGTATTCGATGTTACCTTGATATGATTGCCGCTGAATTCGTTGATCTCGAGCAGTGCACGAGAGGTTCCATCGAAGTTCCATCAGGTTGCGAGCTCGACGGAGACTTCGTTTAATTTTAGCGATTAATCAGTCTTCTGCAGACGCGTGAAATCCACAGTCTACCGGCGAGCAATGTTGCTGAACCGTTTCGTTCCCTGGACAAAGAACTCTCACTGACAATTCGGGACAAGAAGATGGCCGATCAATCCTCGACAGTGTCCACTACTGCCTGCTAACCGACAGCGTCCGAAATCTGATCGCCGCGGTCCGAGAGGGATCGACCCAGGTCCAGCTTCTCACGAGATCGTTACGTTTGTCCCGACGAGCACTATCCGCAGTTCCTCTGATCGATATCGGCTCGAAGACATGGTCTTCCCGCGTGCGAAGCTTCGCGGACCGTCTGACACGTGCTGGCCGTTACTACTAGCGCGAACACGCACTGTCGTTCATTACGACGGACGCTCGATCGTCGAAAGGAAAATAACACAATTAAATCACACGCGCTCTTATAATCACAAGAATCGAAAATCTAACGAAAATTCTCGTGAAATTTCATCCAAATCTCGTATTCCTCGTCCGTGGAAGATATTCGACAAACTTCTATTCCACTAATTTCATTCAATAACCGATACACGGTCACGGAAAACGTATATTTTCGAAATTCAATTAAAACACTCAGCGGAATTCGGTGACGATCGATCTTCAAATAAATGGAATCTTTCCAATTCCAACTTCAATAAAGTTTAAGGGTCTCGCTAATATACACGGAGCGATTGAAGCGTTCTCGACGCGAAGAATTTCAATCGGGAACGAGCTGCGATCGCGAGATCTCGATCCCGCGGCGTCGCGTCGGCGGTCCGTTTTTCGAAAATATTCAACGCGCCCGGTGTCCGACAACCTCCGAACGGCAGTGCGCATCGTCGCTTCGTAATTTCACTTATCACCGGCCCACGTTCGGCTCGTTCCGGCGGGAACGCCCCGTGAAAACCGTAATCTCGGGATCTTATCGCGATTCCCGTGGTTTCTTCGCCGTTCTCGCGTTCCCCGCCGAAATCGAATTTCGACGCGCCGCTGCTGCTGCTGCTCCTTATACCCGACGTGGATAAAATTTAATCAGAACTTAATTCTCCTCACGTACACACCCTTATTCTCCTACGGCCGGGGGAGTCGTTCCGATTCTACGAGCAGACGAATTTTTTTCCGCCATAAAGCGAGCGCGCGCGAATAATTCATTGCTCCCGTTAAACTCGATAGTTCCGAGAGAATCGAGAATCCGTGCCGCTCGAGTCGCATTTTTTTCTCTCCTTCGCCGACGTCCGCTCGTAACGAGAAAAACGGCGGGACGCGTTCATTCGTCGAGACAGAATTCGAGGAAAGATTCCGATCTGCGATTGAAAATTCACGGAAGGATTCTCGCGAGACAATTTCGCGAATGAATCATTCTAATCGCGAAAGGATTTAATAATTTAACCGGAAAATAATTTTCATTCTCTGCCGAAAGTTCGCTGTAAAAGCACCGTACTCCGCAGTGCAATAATTAGACTGCGGATGTTCATGCACTCGACGGCGTTCCTGAACGCGCGGAACACGATAAGGCAGAATGAAACGATGGAAACCGTTCGTAATCGAAACTCGTCGCAGAAGGGAATAAAGGATTCGCAAATACCGGAAGTATTTGAAACGAGTAGATTCAAGGGTTTCAGATAGGTCATTTGATTTGATTTTGATTGCCCGAACAACGAAAGGACAGTGCACTGTTTCAAATATATTCCATTTACAGAATCTCAGAAAATCCATTGCTCTAACTCTCGTAAAAAATTCCAAAAAGTCACTTGAGCTTCTCGAATAAGAAATCCTACTGTCGATCATTTGCAAGGGACGTTAAGGTTAACGTTATTAACGTCATTAATGTTATAATTGAATTAATTGATTAAATTAAGGTTACTGTCATCACAGTCCAGAAACTGCTTGGAAACAAGTGTACCACTGTCGAGCGAATGAAAACTATAACAAAACCCCTGATCCGCAAACCGTTAGGTCGTCCCATAAGTTCGTGTGTTTATTCGTTTAGACATTTTCTAATCACTTGAAAATAAGAACTTGTATATTCAACCCCTTGCTTTGTGATCGATTTCTCAACCATAATCGATACAGCTCGTACTTCATCGTTGGTAAAAATCTATTCGAAAAAGAGGAAAATTCGAAATATGCCCTATCTTCATTGCTCTGCAATATTCGTCACTGTTAAACGTCCAAAATTCAATGCAAATGATTTGACTGCGAAATAATTTTGAGTGAAAATTCCAGGTGTCTTTTGACACCTCCGGTAGAAACAGTGTTAAGAAACGATTAAAGAAGCTGATTTGGCAATACCTAAACCGAAATATAAACCAACTGACATCTCAATAAATTCACGCTTACAGCTTTCATAAAGAAACGTCTCCGTTAAAGTCTCCGTTACGAGTCCGACACGTTACGCGGGCTAAGGGGCTAATCAGATATTATTCTACGTAGAGAATAAACGTCACGAACTTATGGGGCGACAGAATATATTGTGTCCGCAATATACAATCCGCCGGCGGCGAATCGGTGCGCAGAGAATTCGCGTTCGCACGGAAATCCGCAGTGATCGCGGCCGATGCATCACGAAACCCAGCGGGAAAAGGCGGAAGGGACGAAGGAAGGAGCGGAAAAAACTCCGCAGGCCAGTCGACGACCGAGAAACTGGGTGATTAAATTATCGCGTTCGGTATCCTGCGGCATTTTTCCGTTTTCGCCGGTGTGGAGGGGGCAGGGTGGACGGTGTACACTCGGGGAGATCCGAAGCAGTGCGGGGGCGCACGTGGAACGCTTTCAGGCTTTCGGGAGGAGCGATGTGGGTCACCGGATCGGGTGCTTTTATTTTATGAGCGGGATCGCCGTCGACCTGGACGTTATCGCGGGACGCACTCGTCGTTCCACGGATATACAGTGGCGCTCAAAAGTTTCCGGCCAGATCGTTTTTTCGAACTGCTCTTACGCAATCGAGGCTTGACCCTTGCCAGAGAGCAGTGTGAACTATTCTTCTCACTGATAATATTGGAAATAGCATGACGATATAATCTATTCTAAAAATATCGTGACACGTTAAGCGCCACGAAAATCTTAAGCGTTTTCCCATAGAGTGTCTTTTGTAGCAAAGAACGGTAGGAATAATTATGAATTGTTGCAACGTTTGCGTTACACTATTATCAACTTAGTTGCCTTATTAAACATTTTTATTTCACATCGGTTGTCTTGTATGTTACGATTGGTTTTTAGTCATTCAGAAGCGTCAGTCACCGGTGACTGACATGGCGCTTAACGTGTTAACGAAGAATCTGAATTCACGAGGAACCTGTGAATAAAACTGATGTGTCACGCTCGATATAGTGCAAAGGTTTAACTTGACTGCAACTAATTTTTATAGTATTCCTAGGAAAAATGGGAAATGCTATTTCTTCGATCATTTATTTTCCTTAGCGCAAAATTCGAATGTGTGGAGAATCTAATAATTTTAGGGTAGTTTCTTCAAGATTCATTGAAATATTTCACTCTTTGCACTCGACAGTATT